ACTTTCAGAGCCATGCATGTCCAGATGCCTAAATAAACACATTTCTTAGTACACGTAAGAGTCTTAAAGTTTAGTCTGGCTGTGATTTTTCAGCTGAAGAACTGAAACAGGGGTGAATTCTGTCAAAGTTCTCTTTCCATGTGTCTTAAGGTTACATATACTCGTAAGGGACACCTGGACTGATCACCTGTTTAGACTTGGTGCGTGCGATCACATGGCTAGGTTCTCTCCTCCCAAGTAGATATTTATGTTGGCGTAGCGTGGTGTCTTTAAGTGCTATAAAAAATGAATTTCTACTAAATAAAAAGCATTTCTTTGTGAAGGACTGGCCTGTCTCTGGTACTTACATTGCTGTTGTGTATTACCCTTTATAACTTTTGTGCTTTCCCCTCTTCCCCCAAATCAGCTATTCCCTCGCAGGTGTACATGGTTATACGTGATGAACAATTGCTTACTATCAATATCTGGTAAGTGTTTTAGTTTTTCAGTACTTTATAATGGCACTGTTGACTTGATTAGCTTTTATGCCATATTTATTTTTCTCTACAGGTAAAGCATCTCAGCTCTATTCCCACAATTTACCAGGCCTGTTTGATTACGCAAGACAAATGCAAAAGTTACCTGTTTCCATTCCAGCACACAAGCTCCCTGACAGAATCCTGCCCAGGTAAACAGACATGTAGTCACTTTTTCAACCTCCAGTAACACTGCGCTTATTCATCTGAACAAGTGTTTCTGCAACAGAAAGCATACTGTTCGTGTTAGTAGAAATCATTGTCATGGAAAAAGTAAAAGAATTTTTCACTTTCTTCTAAATCTTATACTTGCCATTTACCTCTGATAGACTGCGCTTTTTGGGGGTTTTTCTGCAAGATTAAAACTAAAATTTTTTTTAGAACTTGCTGGAATGTTTACATTACAAATAGTGGTTTTCTTTCGTGGCATATTTGTGTTAGCTTGTGTAAAATGACTACTTCTCAAAGTTAGTTCATAAAATTAGAAATTAAAAAAAATAATAAAACTTTTACATTAGGGATTGATTACTTTGGAATTGAAGGGTTATGCTTTGATACTTTCAGGAATTTGTAATTACAATCATTCCTCCCGGTTATTGTTACAAAATCTTATTTGTCATTTGCTTCTAGAACAAATTGTATTTTAGAAAACTTACCATTTAAGAAATAAAATGCGAGGCTTTATCTTTTAGAAATAGAGAGTATTTAATTTGATTCTTTTCTTATTAACTCAGAATTTGGATTGTGAACCTGATTAGTTTGACTGTACCATAGTAACTGTGTTTGGAATTGGGAGTGTTGCCAATAAGCTCACCCAGAACTGGGTGCCGGAGTCTCTCTGTTCCAGTTTTCTGTGAGATGCCGCTTTGTGCCTACTTACCTGGGGCACCCCTCTACCCACCTTCTGACTTGGTCTTTCCAAATTCCTTGACTCTAGAACGTGACTTTCAAAGTGACCGTAAGATCAAGTTAGGAGCTACGCAGGAGTGGAGAAAGCACATGAACTCTAATGTATGCACTTTGTTATATCTCTTTTTGTCAGAATAGAGACCTGGTCCGGTGCTTGTTTTTAGTG